TAATTATCTGGTCCAAAATGTCCGTAGAGCCAAGGTGAGAGACCCTGGCTTAAGCCATTGTTGACCAAGTATGTTCATTACTGATACAGAGAATGTGAAAGGCTGGCCAGAGCCACAGGAGGGTGAGCGGACCGATGGCCACCTTAGGACATGGGAAAGAGGAGTACGGGGAATTATTCACTGGCCTCACTCCCACAGCACCGTTAGGTTTGACACAACTTCCGTGAGAGGGCTGTGGTCCCCAGCCCCTCAGCGGAGGCCTCATCATGGGCTCCTCTACACCCCATGCTGCCACGGCCTGAGTCCCTTACTCTGTGGCCCAGGCTAGTGCTCATGGGAATCACCTCCTTGAACTTTCCCGCCAATTCTGCCAGGTCGGTGTCATTTATTCCCATTGTACAGCTATGAAAACTGAGGTTCAGAAGAATAGTGGTGTGCCATGGTTAACGACATGTTTGGAGACTGACTGACAGGTTCTCTTCTGCCATTTAGCCGTGTCACGTAAGCATTTTGTCTTTTTGGGTGTCACTTTCCAAATCTGTAAAAGAACAATATCTACCTTATAAACATTATTATGGGGATAAAAAGAAATAACACACGTGAAAGCTCTTAGTACAAGGCCTGACATACAGTAAACATTTCCGCAAATGGCCGTTGTTGGCATTACTAGTCTAGTATGCCCACTGCAGGCGAGGAGCTGGATTGCAGTGCAGCTCCGTCCAAAGTCAAAGCCAGGCCCTCATGAGGGTCACCTGAGTTGCTCACTTGCAGTGGGGGCCCAGAAACAACTGAGGGAGGGGAGATTCTGGGAGCCCCTGGAGGGGCAGGGAAAGTCAGCGAGACAGGGGAGCGTGGAGAGGGACTGAGACTCCTTGAGCACTTAAGGCAGGAGACCCAGGGCGCCTGGGTGGCTCAGTTGGTTAAGCGACTGCCTTCGGCCCAGGTCATGATCCTGGAGTCCTGGGATCGAGTCCCACATCGGGCTCCCTGCTCGGTGGGGAGTCTGCTTCTCCCTCTGACCCTCCTCCCTCTCATGCTCTCTGTCTCTCATTCTCTCTCTCTCAAATAGATAAAATCTTAAAAAAAGGCAGGAGACCCAAATTCAGTCATTTTTGCGCAGAACCCAAAAAGAAATTCTGAGACTGCCTTCTGGCCAGGGGATTTTGGTCCCTGGTCCCGACCTGGCTTGGGCAAGTGTGAGGTCACAGGGTTCAGGTACCTGTCACTGGGGAGAGCGAAGAAGACATCTCTCTAGGAAGCTGGGTAAGTGGAAGGTGCAAACGAGGTTGGGGCTGGACTTTGAATTGATGGATTCCAGGCAGAGGGTGTGGCCCCGGGAAGGGGGGCCTGTCCAGGCACTCGCTCTTTGCCCTTGGGACTCACCATTTCCACAATGCAAATTCTCTCACTGGAATGGCGGTTATATTTCTGGGAATGGGGGTTCCAACCTCAGAAAGATTCTGCAGTGTCTCCTGGGAGAATTCTTCTGTTAAGTACGTCACTCACAACCGCCCCACCCCTGGCTCCTGAGACTGGAGCACTCCCTTCCACCCACCCCTCTTCATTCGATACCTTCATTTTCCCTTGAGACCAAGTTTATCTTCCATGTCCCTGTGTTGCCTGCGCAGGCCACCCAAGAAGCTAAATGGTCTTTCTAAACAAACAAATATACAGACTCTCAGGGAGAAAAAATATTCTCCATTTTGTGAATATGCCCCTGTTTTTGCAAGTTTTTGAGTTTGGGGCTATTCCAAATAGTGCTGACAGAAGCCCTCTTGTAAATGTTGCTTTGGGGGAGCAGGTGCACGCATTTCTGTTGCGTTTGTATCTAGGAATGGAAGTACCGCGTCAGAGGGTGGGTGTCTGCTCAGCTTCAGCGGACAATGCCACTCAACTTTCCAAAGTGGCTGCACCCAGTTTCCGCTCCCTCCGGCAGCTTAGGAGAGTTCTGGGCCCCCACATCCTCTCTGACACTTGGCGTTGTCTGTCAGAGAATTTACAATCGCACTACAGGCCACCTTATGGCTGAGACGTGAAAGAGAGAAAAGCCAGCCGTGAAAGAAAACATACACTCTGGTTCCCATTTACATAAAGCCCCCACATGGGCAAAATAACCTAAGCTGTTAGAAGTTCTGGTTGGGATACCCATGAGAAGCACGAGGAAGGCTTCCAGGCTGCTGGGATTCTGCTTCTTGATTTAGGTGCTGGTTCCACACCTAAATTTCCTCTTTGTGAAAATTCTGTATGGTTATGATTGGTGCACTTTTCTGTATGTGATACTTAAATGAGACTTTCAAAAAATATTCTGTCTCACTTTCCCCCTCTCCGTCGCTCTGTCCTCTTTCATCACAGCACTGACCGGGAACTGTCCCCACCAGAGTCCCCTCCATGGCCGTGTGACTGGCACTCAGAAAGGCCTGTGATTGGTTTCATGCTCTGCTGTCTCTGTCTTGAAATAATTAGCACTTAAAAAAAAAAGATTTTATTTATTTATTTTAGAGAGAGAGAGAGAGAGCGCGTGAGCACGAGCTGGGCGGAGGAGCAGAGGGAGAGGGAGAAGCAGACTCCCCCCGGGGCTCGATCCCACAACCCCGAGATCATGAACTGAGCCAACACCAAGAGTCAGCCTTTAACAGACCGAGCCCCCCAGATCCCTGCGCGAGGCTTGGTCTTTGACGGGCAGAGGGCCAGGGCTAGGTTGCCCCTCTGGCTGACTAGAGAAGGTGCCAATGCCCATAATGGCCCCAGGATGGCTCTCCCTCCTATGGGAGCCCGGGACTGTATGTACCCGTGCATGGACTACGGGGTCACAGGGGAGGTTCGCGGACGTTGCCCCCTTGGTTCTGCCCCTGCTCTTCCATCTGTTTTTTTTTTTTCAATTGTGGTAAAATACACATAACATGAAATTTACCATTTTAACCATTTTAAAGGCTACAGCCCAGTGGCATTAAGTACATTCACTTTGTTGTACAACCAGTCTACCAGCCATCTCTAGATCTCTTTCCTCTACCCAAACTGACACTTTGTACCCATGAAACAATACTCCCTGCTCCCTCCCACCTGGTTGTATGATGCTTCTGTGTGTCTCTCTTCCCAACTACACTGGGAACGCTATGAGGGCTGGGCGGGGCTTACTCACCTCTGAATGAGAAAGAGCACGCAGGATGCATGCTGCAGGAGGACCTGGCTAAGAAAAGAAGATGTGGTCCATCTATACAATGGAATATTACTCAGCCATCAGAAAGGATATACCCAACTTTTGCATCAACATGGATGGGACTGGAGGAGATTATGCTAAGTGAAATAAGCAGAGAAAGTCGATTATCATATGGTTTCACTTATTTGTGGAACGTAAGGAATACATGGAGGACATTAGGAGAAGGAAGGGGAAAATGAAGGAGGGGAAAATCGGAGGGGGAGACGAACCATGAGAGACCATGGACTCCGAGAAACAAACTGAGGGTTTTAGAGGGGAGGGGGGTTGGGGGGATGGGTTAGCCCCGTGATGGGTATTAAGAAGGGCAGGTACTGCATGGATCACTGGGTGTTACACAAAAACAATGAATCATGGAACACTACTTCAAAAACTAATGATGTCTTGTATGGTGACTAACGTAACATAATAAAATAAAATAAAATTTTAAAAAACACAGTTTCATTAAATAAAAGAAAAGAAAAAATTGGAGGGAGGAGGACATAATTTAACCCTTATCTGAAGCCTGGGTCAGCTCTTGGGCTAATCAATCCTCTAAATTCAATGTTGAGACAGTGCCCAGCACATAGCTGGATCCCAAACCTATTTGCTGGCAGAATGAATAAAATGTTAGTAAACGTGCTACCAATAGTAAAATATTGGCCCTTTATTGAGCACTTCCAGGTGCTAGGCATTCTTAATACACAGAAAGGATGGACGGGCGCCTGGGTGGTTCAGTTGGTTAAGTGTCTGCCTTCAGCTCAGGTCATGATCCTGGAGTCCTGGGATCAAAACCAGGCTCCCTGCTCAGGGGGAAGCTTGCTTTTCCCTCTCCCTCTGCTGTTCCCCCTGCTCATGCTCTCTCCTGCCCTCTATCTCTCTCTAATAAATAAATAAAATCTAAAAAAAAAAAAGAAAGGGTGGAGAAAAGGGCTTGGTACTCAGTACGTTTTCTTCTTTTCCTTAGGAACATTATCCCATTTAGCCCTACAGTCACCCTCTAAGGTGACTACTTAGTTTTTGAATGAGAAACAAACTCAGAGACACTGTGTTCCCTGCCAGCGGTCACACAGCTGGCATATGGTTCCAGGTCTGGGCGCCTCCAAAGCAGGGTGCTTTCAATATTTACTTTGCGATGCCTCCCGGCGTCAGTTAAACAGAATTGGATTTCTGCCTATTTTCGCTTTTGTTTCTAAAACTGGTTCTTCTCTTTTGGATTATAAACATGTATCAACTCTCTAAAAAAATCTCAGGCATTACAGAAAGTGAAAAATGTGAATTTTTAAGACTTCTTTGAATGTTCTGTCAAGATTCATGGCGACCCTCTCCAAGGGTAGCGGGATTTGGAAAACATGTTCCTCATCATCCTCCTTCTGAGTTTTTCGTCCAACTCAAGGAATATATGTGTTGCGTTCAATGACCTTTCTTTTCAGATCTTTCCCTCTTCCGGGAGAGCTGAAGGTGAAGGTGATGAAACGCCTCCTCCTCCCCCCTCCCCCCGCCTGCTTTTCCCATAAGGGCTTGTTTTCTCTTCCATGGACTGGCTTTCCTCCAGCCAGGTCCAAGGTTGTTTTCTGGTATTGGTTTCTTGTTGCTGTTTGGATATAATAGGGAAGTCGTTAAATGAAACTGGTTTGTTTGTTTGTTTTTCCCCAGGTAGCTGAGGTAAGCCTCCTATTGCTGGAAGAGCAGGAAGCAGACATGTGATAGGACGGGGCGAGGCCAGAACCTGCAAAGGTTGACCCTAGGCTCTCTGGATTGGCCGCCCATGAGCTCAGCTCCTGGGAATTACGATATAAACGTGATCATGACCAAAATATCTTCTGAGACACTGGAAACTGGCAGCAGCAATAGCGACATCTTCTCCCTGGGCAAGCTAGAGGGATTACCCCCTCGGTCCAACTTCCAGCCGACAGGAAGTGGTACCCAGACACTGCGGGGGTTCCCGACGCAGAGCCCCTGGTCTGGAGGTCCTGGCCAAGGGTGTCGTGCGACAGCAGGGACTTCCGTGGTCTGAGGTGAGTTGAACAATACTCTCTCCTTAGGGGGCTGGAGTAGCGGGTATCTTGGGGTCCTGAAAGTAGGGGCAGACCCAGGACTCAAACTCTGAGTGGAACCCCAATTCTGCTTCTAGCTTGTTGGGCTTTTCCTAGGCCTCAGTTTCTTCAACTCTAGAAAGGCAGAGCAGACTTCAGTGAAGTAATCTCCAAAGGCGTCTTGCAAAGAGCTCTGGACTAACTTGGACTTACGAGCGCTGGGTTCAAATCCCAGGCCTGCCACTTACTAGCAGAGCAACCTTGAGTGAGGAAGTCCCCTTTCTTGGGCCTCAGTTTTCTCATCTATAGAATGGGAGCAGCATTACCCACCTCTCCTGCTCGTTTCCCTATTGAATGTTGTAGAGGTCAGGTTAGAGACTTTATGTGAAAGTACATAGTAAAGGGAAACCTGACATAAATAGGAGGTATTGTTATTACCCATGGCTCGATTCAATTTCTATCAGTTTAAAGTTCTTGAAAGTTAGTCCAAGGCCAGGGAGATCTTATGGAAGAGCTCTGGTGGCCTGCTGTTCTGACAGTGATTTGAGGGGGGATGATAGCATCGCATTGCCTGTGGTCCTGGATAGACGACACGATGGGGTGGGGACGGGATGGGGCGTCAGCCGAGCACAGTCTTGTGTTGGATCGAGGGGAGTGGTGGTTATCGTAGGAGTTTTCCAGCTTTAGGAATGATGACCCCACTACCCCTGCCCCAAGTCTGCCCCACTGCTGTATCATAGTGCCTGAAGTTCCACCATTAGGTACTTCTTTCTTTTGGGTTTTGAAAGATCCTCAAGAGATGCCAATGCCCAGCCTTTTGGAAAACAGGCACCAGGCATCAGTGTGTTTGGCGGTGACGATAAGGAACAGGCAGATGGTCAAAGTCCACCCTTTTACACAGAGCTGGCACCCCCAACGGTGCCCTGTGGCTTCTTAGATGCCCTGTGGTCGGAGGCTTCATGCAAAGATCCCATCGAGCTCTGCCGGGGTTTGGGCCCTGGCTGGAGCCCCTGTCCAGGCCTAGGTCTCACGTTTTGAAGTGGACGAGGACCAGCAGGTGAATACCCAGGGAAGGGTGCCCAGGAGGGGGACAGGTCTAGAAACCATGTGATTTGAGGTGACTGGGGTGATTGGGGTGATGGATGGGGACAGAGAAGACTCAAAGGGTGACGCGGCCTCCCCTCAGGTGTGAAGGGCTGCCGCTGGTGACTTCAGCTCAGTCTAAGGAGGACTTCCCTCAAAATAGAGGCTGGCTGACAGTGGAAAGCTCTGCCTTGGAGGGTGGTGAGTTCCCACTGCAGGAAGTGTTCCAATACGGGTTGCAAGTCTCCCTGCCAGGAATGTGGCCTAAAGGAGTCCTATACAAGAGGTAGGGCTAGATCCTTCTCAGGTCCCTTCTGGCTCCTGGAACCTATGAGGAACCCCAGAAAGGAGAAGAAACACCTTGAATTGTTACCATCTAACACCTGAGAGGTGGGCACAGGAAGAGGATGGGTCTAGTGTTGAAAGAAAAGATGACAGCCTCGCCCTCCACTTGAGTCTGGCCAGTGGGGCTGGAGGATCTTCCCCAAGGAGGCCCCTCCCTACACTGCATGTGGGGGGGGTGTGAGCTTTGGAGGGGACCTACATCACTGTGGGAGCCCAGGTTGAAGGCTTTGAACTTGGATGGACACAGCTCCCATGCCAAGAGTTTGGAGTGTCCATGGGGCCGCCTACGCCAGTGAGAAGCAAGCGTGACCTCAGGGTGCAGCCCTTGACCCTCCAGCCTCCTGACTGGCTCTAGTTCAGGGGTCTGTGAGCCCCTCCTGGTGTTTTCAGTCTTTGCCTCTGGGGCACAGGCGTCTATACCAAGCACACGTGTGTGTGTGTGTGTGTGTGTGTTCACATTTACGGAAGGCCAGTTGGTGTAGGAGAGAGAAGGAAGGATTTAGAACTCGAGGAGGTAGATTCAAGCCCCAACTCACTGTGCTTCCCGGCTGTGGGTGCCCAGGCAAGTCTCTCAACTGTTCAGGGACTCCGTTTCCCACCACCAGCCTGTCGGCGTCATGGGGCCGTGGCTTTGAATCTGGGCCCGATTCAAAGGGCATTCTGGACGCTCTGTGGCAGTATACAGGTGACTGGTTGGATTTACGCTTATCTGTGTATTGCTTCTTTGTTCTGCAAACGCTGAGAACTGCCCAGGCAGGGTGGACCCAGCTGGGAACCAGGCAGGCTGAGGTCCATTCTCTTAACTTGGGAGGGGGGCGGCAGTGGTGGTGTTGTGGGGGCAAGTAGACTCAATTATTCCCTTGCATTTGATTTAAGAAAAATCAACACAGTGTTACGAATCCACATAGGTTTATGTGTGTCAGAGTATGTTTCTGTGACCCGTGAATGTGTGAGCCCATTCAGGCTGCCGTGGCCCCCAGACTGGGCGGCTTAAACAACAGAACTTTATTTCTCACAGTTCTGGAGGCTGGAAGTTCAAGAACAAGGCGCCAGCCGATTTGGTGTCTTGTGAGGGCCGCTATGGATGGTCACCTTCCCAGCGGCCCTTACATGGTAGAAAGGGTGAGGGAGCTCCTCTCTTTCATGAGGGCTCTGCTCTCACGACCTAATCACCTCCCAAAGACCTCACCTTCTGACAGTGAGGTGAGGATTTAATAGGCGAACTTCGGGGAGTGGGGCACAAACATTCAGCCAATGGCCATGAGTGTCTGTTGGGTGTTGACCCTGAGCCCCCACGTGGGCGCCATGCACACGCTCCCTCGGAGCTGCCCCTATTTGTTAACTATCTATTGTGTGAAGCACAGGGTGGGGGAGAAGGGGAGCCCCAGAATCTCTCTGTGAACTGGTGCAGTTACATAGTAACGGAGCCTGAGCAATGAATTATCCAATAGTGCACAGATGAGGTTTCATTCAGACAATAAAACAAAAATGGCAGCACGCTGAGAAGTTGGCAAGCTTGCTGCTCCCTAGTCACTCAAGGTCAGCTCCGCGGACTGTCTCTGGTGGCTTGTTGTTGTTGTTGTTGTGAACACATCACTGGCCTGGATCACGTCTTATCAGAAGTGCTGTGATCTGCACCTCACTCGGGGGTTTTGGAGCAGGCTGGGACTTTGTTCTAAAGCCTGCTTTCTACCAGGGCCATAAACGAGTTTACAAGAGCAGCTGGGGTTCCCTGCAATAAGGGTTTGCTGCTGTCTTGGGGTTCCTGGTCTGGACGTACATCCAGGACAGGGTGGAGTTCCCCACCAGGCCGAGTGTGGGTGGACCCCCAGGCAGAGCACAGAACATGGGAAAAAGGAGGAAGGAAAGAGAAAGTCTTGCTTTGCTGAATTCTAGACTGGCAGAATTTTACAATTAGAAATTCTGGAAAGATTTAACTTCAGCACACGTAGAATTTGGGGTGTGGTGTGTGTGTGTGTGTGAGAGAGAGAGGAAGAGAGAAAACACAGTCAGGGCTTAGAGACATTAAAAGTCTGAGGACACGTTGGCCAAAGGGAGGCTCTTCCAGGGTGTCTCCAGGGGGTGGCTGGGCTTGGCCTCCTGGGCCAGCCACACTCTCCCCACTCTCTGCTAGCGTTGGCAGACAGGATCTTTGGAGCGTCACAGAGGAGAAGTGGTGGTCAGAGAGGTGGGAGGAGGCCGGGCTGAGCTGGGTCATGGCCGCCCAGGGAGGAAAGAGTGGCAAGGAAGCAGGGTGACCATGTGAACACCGTATCGAATGCTGTAGCCCCTTCAGGGAGGATGGGGTCTGTGGATTTGGAATGAGGAGGCCTTGGGAGATCCTGGAGTCTCTCCTCTCTGGAGAAACACTCAGAAAGGCCTCTCCCAGCCAGCTTCTGGGGCTGTGTTACTCGCTTCCCTCCAGACTCAGGGCATTGTTGTTCTGGGGTGGGGGGGTGGCCACATCAAGGCAGTTTCCTTGAGAAAACATCAAGAAGGACACCATTGCCTGGTGGAATTGTACCGATGCTCTGATGAGAAGTAGCAGCGTGTCCTTCGAATGCAGTAGGAGGACACTGCGACCATCAGCGATGGTGGAGACCGTTTCCATAGCAATGACAGCTTTTAAACAGATTACTGTGCCTCTTTTCCCATTAGCTGGGAAGGATGCTCCGACCCTTCCTGTGATTTCCAGCCCCCCCTCC